TCAAGCAACAAAAGAGCACGCATTGGATAATAAGAGGGTGCGGGTGTGGATAAGAATGGGTACGTGAGGTGGCGATTTATGCGAATAATCAAGAAATCATCGCCCACTCCCCACAACTATTGAAAGCGTCATTTAAGAGTAATCGAACAAATATTATCATATTAATCGAATTAAATGAATAAAAATATTTTCTGATCAATTCTTTGAATATTCTAAGAGCAATACACGATGCAAAATTGTTTCAAATAAAAAAAGTCATCATACAAAAATCGTTTGTTTTGTGAACACTTTCAAATATCAAGTTTATATAAAAACTTTATCGCACGCAAGCGAATATTATAGAACGTGTAGGTATTCTATTTCGACCACATCTACATCTATCACTGCAAATTGTTTTTATATAGCTGCTATTCAAAATTTGGCAAAAAATGATTGTTTTTTGTTCGGTAAACAAATTTTTGTATAGCAAACGTTGCCTGAAAGGTGGATACCATAGTACTTCGTTATGCTTGCCTTAAACGTTTCATGAGTAAGATTTTTGGAACAACAATTTGTATCCTTCCACGCCAACAAGTAATGAATCTTCTGAATCCGAGTTTTCTTCGTTGCTTTTTTATCAAAATATTTTTATTTTTCGACAAGAATTTCTTCGATTTTTTCATTAATTTTTAACAATAAAACGTTACTTTTTCTTTTATTTTTCTTTTTATTTCTCGATTTTTTATTCAACAAAAACTTATTTTCTTTTTTTCAAAATCAAAATTTCATTCACAAGATTACTTCAAATTTTTCAATTCGATGGTTTCCCGAATCAACAACATAAAGATTTCCTTCATCATCAAAAGATAAACCACGAGGATAATACAACTGATTTGATTGATTTCCTTGGCCATTTTCACCAACAACAATTTCACCTTCTGCTTTTCCTTCACACCAACGCATTATTCGATGATTCCCCCAATCTGCCACATAGATTCGACTCAAATCATCGACAATTACTCCTTGAGGATAATACAATTGATTGAGATTTTTTCCTTGACGATTTCCTCCAGCCACAACTGTTCCTTGTTTAGCATCTTTTCTCCATTTCATCACACGGTCATTGTCTCTATCTGATACATACACAGATTGATCTTCATCAACAAAGATGAAAGTAGGATCATTGAGTTGATTAAGTTGACTTCCTCTTCCATTTCCACCTGCCACTACAATTCCTTCGTTATTATATTCTCCCATTTTCCATCGTCTCACTTCACTCTTCTTCCAATCAGAAACATAAAGAAACCCATGTTTATCCATTGCCAAGCCATAACAGCCAATATTGTTAATGAGAACGTGTTGATTTTGATTCAACCATTGAATCACTCGTCTGTTATTAAAATCAGCAATAATGATCGAATCATTTTGTTGATCTACAATCACATCTGTTGGTAGATTCAATTGATCCACTCGATTTCCCATACCATTTCTACCTGCAATGATTTGTCCTTCTATGGCATTGTATTTCCATTCAACAATACGATGATTGAAGCAAACAGCAATGAAAATATTTTTGTTTTCATCAATAAAGATTCCTTCAGGTTCATTAAGTTGATTTAATTGTTGTCCTTTTCCATTTCCGCCAGCCACAGTGACGGCATTTTGTTTCCATTTATTGAATTTTGGTCCTAGAAAATGATGAAAACAGAAGATTTTGATGAAAAGAAGAAGAAGAAGAAAATTTTGTTCCTTATCGAAGAAAAAAGAAAAGATTAGTTTTTAATGAAACTTTGGGTTTATTTTTCTGTTAAAGTTGAATTTTGAAAAGAATTTTATTAAAAACAAAAACATATATTATTCGAAGTTTTTTATTTAGAAAATAAACGAAAAAATCCTTTGTTGATTTAGTTCTTATTAATTTATAAATAAATAAATAATATTCTCAATTGTTTTTTCTCTTTTTCATCAAAATTTTTCTTTTAGAAATTGTTTCTTAAAAACTTACTTTTTGATAAAATAATTGAAATATCATTAATAAATGATTGTGAATCTCCTTTAATAGAAATCTTTGATGGATTATTTAATTCTTGTGTAATTTCTAGTAATTGATTTCTTAAATAATTTAAATTTATTTCATTAAAGTCATTTTCTTGATGAATTTGTTTTATTTGTTCAGATAAATCATTAAATTTCTTTTCAATATCATTAAAGAATGTTGGTGAATATTCAATAACAATTTTCCTACACTCTTGTGCTTTTTGTAGAATTATTTCAATTGAATTTCTTTCCCATTCATTAATCTGTTTTATTAATGAGAGATTATATGGATTTTGTTTTTGTTCATTAAATATATGTCTAAATTCATTATATTCATTGGTGATGTGATTTAATTCATCATTTAATATTTGTTGATGTTCTGTTAAATGTATTATACAGAATCTTTTTGAACATCCTTCACATGTATATGTATTGTTTTCTCTATGACATGTAAAACATTGTGCTTTGTTGTTTGCTAGTGCCATGCTTTTGAATAGAAGTTTATATATAAAATGAATATCTATCTATCTACTTATATATATATAAACTTAATGACTCAATGATAATAAAAACATTGCTCGGTAGTAGAAGAAATCGAAAAGGAATTTTTTATGACAAAGTCTTACTGGTAAAAATGATGTAATATCTAAGATGGTTGGACTAAAACTGAAAATTGATTTCGTTTTTAGTTTCAAATAAAAATCCATCTTAAGGATGTGGGTGTAGGTATGAATATGCGTCTAAGAGACTATCATACACTCACAACCACCGCACACCCTCAATGATGTTCAATTCTGAGATGTATGAGATACAGTTTTTTTTAAGACTGACAATTTATTCGTTTTGACTTAATAGATATGAAGAAGAAATTGAATTACATCAGTTCTCATTAAAAGAAAAATTCGTTACATAATAAACAAATAAATGAAACATAACTATTAGAAGAAATGTTGATACATATGATTTTTGCCCGCCATTAATTCGACCATTGATATCAGTAAGATTATATCGAAAGAGGATTTCTTTTACTTCGTTGTAAGTTTCTGGAGAATTGCATCTCGTTCGATTACATTCAATGTCCAATGAAGGAAGACTACCACCATCGAACACGTGCACTCGTGCGATACTATTCGATTCACAGCGTCTTTTACTCATTTTATTATTATCGGTGTTATATTCGATTCGACATACGCCAGAAACACATTCTTCATTGTCGTAACAGCGAAGTGTTGGATCAGAAGGTTGTCGATACTCAAGAAGAAAATTACTTAATTGTCTAGTAACACTGCCAACATCGAATGTTCGATTAGAAAGATCGAGTACTTTCTTGTTGGCAAAGTCGATTGCACAATTATCATTATGAGAACAAGCATACATGGCTGTGTAAGACAAATAATTTGACGGTAGAATATAAACTGATCGATAGTAGTGACTAATGAATGATGTATCAAATTCTACAACATATCTTCGTTCATGATAATAGAATTTGACTTCGACACCACAGTCGTTTGCTTTCTTACGTTGTTGACAGGATGTAGGAATACTAAGAGGCATACCAATATATCCAGAAGCTGTACAATTGAATAGACAGAGTGGTTTTCCATGTGCGTAGATAAAAAAGAGTGTGAAGACAACGCAAAAATAAACTGTTGAAAGCATTTTTATGATTAAAAATACAGAAGAAATATTGCGCATATATATATATATATACATATATTACATACGCCTCTTGTTTCTGTTCTTCACTGATATCAGGCGGAATGACGTCGACACACGAATAGTAAATATTATGATTCAGTAAAATAACGTGGGAAGGTGAATTACTCAAGAAGATAAAGAGTATGATTCGCTGTAATGTTATAAAATCTTCTCGAATTTTACCTTTTTGTATGAGTAACGTTTTTCAAATAAAGATTATTTTTTTAATATGAACACATGTGTGTTCTTTATTTTAATTTCATTGGACAGTTATCTGACTATCTGTGTTTTTTATATTAATGTTTTAATAGCACTATTTTTATCATCATTTATCGAACAGATTATAATCTTTCTTTATTATTTTCAAAGTAAAAGAATCGAAGAACCGAAGAAAAAAATAATTCGATTGTATATAACCTTGAAAAATAATAGATTTGACAAATAAAGTATAGGATTTCTATGAGAATATAATAAATTAAAACGACATATATCCTCAATAAGAATATGACTTAGAGAAAAAAGAAAATAGTATAACTTATTTTTAAAAATGCATAATACTACATTTCGGATCTATTACAGCATGTGGACAATAACCAGGTACATCAAAAATGCCTTTTGGTAATAAATCACGATTTTCAGAATAATATGCAAAATCAACTTGCATAGCATATAATCATTCAAATCGACATGAAATACCAGTTTCGACCGATATTAACCAAGAGAATGATGCAACATCCGGTACATATTTTGTCCATGAATGACATGCGTGTTCCATGACCGTCACAATTTCATTATATATAGTTTCATTACCAATTTGTAAGCAATCTAATGACGAGAAAAATATTCAGATTGTAGTACAACAGAGATTATCAAGATAAAAAAATTTTTTAACTCATTTATGATTCAATGTAAAAGAAAGATATTCTGATCACATGAAATTTGAATAAGTTTTCATGTTTGATTATTTTATACATTGTGCTGAAGTAAAAAACAATTCCAAAGATGAAATTCATTATATTTTAGCTTATGGAAATATATTCTGATATAGTTTAAAGTTCTTACCAGGTCTTGGCGTTTGCACGTTCTAATCGCCAAACAGTGGTTCCATTATGCATTATGGTATATGTATAGGAATCTTCTCTCATCATATTCATAACTTGTGCTGATCGAGTCCAATCATAAAAAATTTGTGTAATTACTGTTTCATCATTAAATAAATAATGTGCACTACCAGTTGTCATCCAAACTGAAGGCCATCGTGGAGGCGAAGGTGTCACAGATGAAGCTGTACTACAAGTGTGAAATGTAATGAATAGTAATTCACGAAACATTTTTTTCGGTAGTAAAAGTAGTGAGAATAGATGTTTTATATATCTCCTTAATAGAAAAAACATCTGCAAAAAGAAAATGAGTAAACCAGTATGACACATATTGTTATCATATTTGCACATCGTCATAGTTCTTCAATATATATATATATATGATTAATAATAGTTGTTGAAATATGGTCTAATAGAGATTTTTATGTGTTAACCGTTGTGATAAACATATATGCATGCAGTTTTTTATATTTTTTAATTTATCAAGCTTCTTAGTAACGAGCGTATAACTGAAAACTTATTTGACATGAGTTGGCATAAGCAGTGACGTGAATTTCAGTGAGAAAACAAGATAGGATTGATTTATCTCTTTCGAAAATGATACAACAAAGTTGCTAATTCAAATGTGTGAAAGCTTTCGGTATCCTACGATATGATCACAGCACCCACATCCACATCCTCATGATGGATGACAAAAATCCTTCAAAATCTATTATCTATATTTATAACAACAACGATGCCGACAGAGCGGCTTCGTTTACATCTCTGATTGTAATTGACATGGAAATAATCTTTGGCGTTTTTACTTTATTTTTTTTGTGTAGGAAAATCTTCCTCTTTGTTACAATTAAAAATGACATCAAAATAAGTTCTTTTCTCTTCTGCTTATTTTATTAATATATTTTTATGTTTTTCTCTCCTTTCTCTCGCTAGCACATATAGATATATAACTATGTGTCTGCTTTGTTCATCTACCAGTTTATGCTTTTTAATTTATTCTTTTCCTCGTCCGATTCGACTCTTTTTCTCGTTTAAAAATATGACAATTATTGATAAACATTAATATTTTTCTCGTTAGTTGTTTAGGTACATTAACTCGAATTTTTTATTCGTATTTGAACTAGAATAAAACATCGATGTATATTGTTTTCAATAGCAAGAACTGAGAGCTTTACAAACGTTAATGAAAAGTTAACAATACCACGTTTAATTCTATTCTACCTTTTGTTTATTTCGTCTCATCGTTGTAAAATAGGGCTTTTATGAGCGAAAATTTATTATAAATAGAATTCCATACATAGAACTCGAAGTATTTTCATAAGAAGAAATCTTATCTTTCAAGGACAATCACAAACACATAGATCATTCATACCCTTTTCTTTGTTTATTATGATCTGTATAGGTAATTACATGTAAAATAAATTTGAAACTTTTCTAGATAAAATGGCGAACAGTAGTAACGATAGCATAATGACTAATGGAAGCGATATAAATGGTTCAGATTCAGCTTCGTATATCAGTGATCTAGCCGTTTTGGGTTATTACAGTCTATTGATGGTAAGTTCTGGTACGGTACTGAATCTACTGACGTTCTTTATATTATATCGGCCAGCATTTCGAGATACACAAACACGTCCCGCATTGTATTATATGCGCGCAATTGTGCTGACTGATTTCCTTGGATTGTATGGCTGGAATTTAGACAATTATATAGGAATCATTTATGGATTTACTTTAAGCTATTCATACACAGTTGCATCATGCAAGTTCTTTTCATTTTTTAACTTTTTCATACTTCATGTTTCGGCATGGCTACGCGTTTTTGTTTGTCTGGATCGGTACTTATCTATAAGTCACTTGCAACGAAACACTTGGTTCAGCCGACCCAAGAGCATTCGCATTATTATCGGCGGTACTATTGGATTCTTCATTCTCTTTAACTTCCACTTTTTCCCATTCGTTTGCTATCGCGATGATAGTGGACAGATTAACCGAGACTCAAAACTTTATTCTGTTTATCCACAATTCGAATGGGTACATTTCGCAATTTATAATTGTATTCCTTTCTTGCTAATGACATTGCTAAACAGCGTTTCAGTTTATCATCTCATGCGACTACGAAATATAACCATGGTACAAAATTCACGTGTTCGACATCGAGCTATTTCAGTCACGCTCATATTTACAAGTTCTCTTTTCTTGGTAACATGTACACCGTCTTCAACTGCTTACGCCTTCTTTTATGACAGTCTTTCTACAACTGTTCAGGGTCGTCGCATAATCAATTCATTTGACACATTACTGTATACATTTCCTGTGTTAAATTTTCCAATCTATCTGCTAACATTCGGTGAATTTCGCCGTGAATTGTTTAGTTTCATAGTGAGAAATAGAAGAGTACAACCGACGACCGTAGGAACTAGGCAGAATCATATTGCACAAATAGAATTGCAGAATGTATCAATAAGACGTCATCTATGATAGAAAGATTTGTACTTATAAAGTTATAACAGTTTGATTTAAGGTTTCAGTGTATCTCTGATTATGTATCGTATGTTTGCATGTTGTATTGTGTTTACTATAAATGACACATTATTGAATTTTGACAAATACACCATGGCAAGAACTAATATGATATTTATATGGAAAATATTGGTTTGACAAGACTAAAAGTTCAATTTTTCATGTCTAAATATAATTAACGATACATTCATATCCTCAAATGAAATTAATACTTTCTGTTTTTTTGCGTATTTAATAATAAAGTACGAAGAGGAATCATGAGTGTGTGAAGGTAATGAAGGAATATTCACACCCACACCTTCGTGCCGGGCTTATGAGATTCTCTCTAATATATCCACACCTTTTTACTTGTTTTGTCTTCTATGATTAACAAACTTCAAGTAAAATTTTTGCCAGACTTATTGACAACACCATTTTAACCATCTGGACGGTGTGAATAAAGGTAAAATGGGATAGATAATATATGTTCACTCTCACCTGCATATATATATATATATATAAATTTAAAATTTGAATTTAATAAAAAGGTCTTATGAATAAAATAATATTTATTTTAAAAGGATCATTTATACGATAGTATAATAAGCAGGTTTTAGAAGAAAAAAAAGAGAAGGAAAAGGTTTGTTTTTCTATATAACTTCAATAATAAGTATAAACTGTAATTGTTTTAGTTGCTGCAAGAATAATAAAGGTAATTATTACAATCGAACCAGTAACTGTAGCTAAAATATTGAGAATTTTAGCAGATTTTGATGCTTCCAATGCACCTTGAAAATTTCCACACATCTTGTTGTCTCTTGTCCTTCCAGACTTCATATAAGCAAAAATACCAAGTATGAAACAACAACAGCAAATATTAAAGATTGACCATGATTTGTAGTCTGGGATAGCCATTATCTGTGGTGTCATTGCAGGATTCATATTTATTCCATGGTTCATCATCATCATCGGTGGATGATTTGGATTTTGATAGATAAGTACCGGTTGAGGTTGATAAAAATTTGGGATATTTGCAGTCATAGTATGAGTAGCAACCGGTGGTGGTTGATGCATTACAACAAAATTAGCTCCTGCTTGTTTTTGATCACGATTGTTTGTGTCGATGAATTGTTTATCGTTCATATTGATGGTTACGATGAAAATTTTATCTAAAAAGAAATTATAAACGTTTGTTTCAGAAAAAATCAAATCCAAGTGTTTTATTGTTAATCTTTCATGACTAAATATACTAAAAAAATGCTTCTCTTCTATAACATGAAATCGTCTGGAAAACATTAAAAAACTATTTTTTTTTCTAGAAAAAACATCTAACTCACTACATCAACATTGATATCTACCTTAGGAAAATAAATATCCTGTGAAAAAATATATGCTGCACTAATATTTATCTGGTGTTTAATAAAAAAAACTGTCAAGCTTTCTCTTATTCATTCAAATGATTCAAAGGTATAATCATGTATTTCAAATAGTCAGTATTTGACTATGCTATTGCGATGAAAAAATATATGTTCTGCAAATAAACTGGCATTTTCTGTAATAATACTTTCATTACATGCAATCGACAAAACAAAACAATTTTTAGACAAATAAAAATAAATTTCAGTATTAATTTCATTTGAAAATATTCAGTCGTAATTCTATGATTTGTTATTGGTAGAATGAAAGTAATTTCATAAAGTTAAAATTAAATATTTGTGTTACAAATTTGATAATTTTATGGAAAATCTTAAATCATCTTTGAACATACAAATAAATATTCTTTTTCGTTTCACTTTCAATTTGTTACTTCTCTTTCAAAAGAAAAATAAAACAATTTTAGAGTGTATTCAATAATATTCTTCATCCGCTCAATTGCACTTTAGAACATTTATTTTTTATTATTAATGACGTAGATTATGACGTTCTTATTCCTATTCTCTATGAATAATAATTTATATTATTATTATACACGTGTATTATCATTGTATAAATAATCATATATTTCTTTCTCATTTTTATACATTCATACCAATATAAATTTATTATTCATTATACTTTACTATTATTAATAAAATGTTTGCTCAACCATTTTTTAACACTCCAATGAATAGTTGGAATAGAGATTATCAAACTATTGGTTACGGTAATTATGATTATGGAATTTATTCACAAGATGTTGATATTTAACGTAATCCATATACAGGACGTGTTAATGTCGAACGTGAACTTGATTTTATTCCAATAGGTAATAATTATTATCAATCTGTAACTGGTACTCCTGCTGCTATTCATCAACATTGTATTAATTAGAAATCTTGAATATTTGAAATGAATATTGTATAAAGTTTTCTTTGTGTTTTTGTAAAAGAAAATGAATTTAATATAAAAATAGTTTTATTTTTTTATTCAAATAGTATCTATAAATAAGTACGATAGATTAAACAGAGAACAAGAGAAAAAATGGTTCTATTAGTACCTTTACAAACATAAACAACGAGCCAGTCGTTTATGACAATATTCTATATGCTCGATAATCTGTTGTCATTGACCTTGAATTTCATCAAACCTGCATAAATATTAGACATTTTCTTAGTGAAAGTAATCATAGATTTATATTGTGCTCAGTAGGGTGGGTGTAGGCGGGAGTTTGGGATGGGATCTGAGGCATGAGTTGAATGGACATGAGTGAAAGATGAATGAAACAGCAACGTCCATCCCTCAGCAAGAATATGAAGTATTGTGAAAGTACATATAGTTCGCCGAACAAATTTAACTGTATTTACGATACGACGTTTAATATTGAATCAACTGTGGAAAAATCTATCCATCCATGCAAGTACAATAAACCAAATGGTCAATGCTCGAGTAAGAGAAAATAAGTATATTTGAAGTTGAGTCAATAATAAAAATATCAACAAGAATACGACATGGAACAATAATAAGTACAACAAAAATATTTGATGTTGGTGGGTGGGTGTGAGTGAGGGTTTGGGTGTGTGCAGAAGTAAGATACACAAGATGCATTTACATCCACACCCACACCGAATATTTTAGTTGTCATGTTGTACAAACGATCATCTTGACTATTACAGTGGCATTTCTTAGCGTTTCCGGTTGAAAAGAACGGTCGATGATTCTATCGCGTTCGATAGATGTTTACCCAACAAGGAGTCTTTCAGAAATATACGGTAATACTGTCTCGAAGGTACAATATAGAGAAAGAAAATACTCGTTTGTGGTGCGAACGAAATGTAGTAGCTAAGCAAAGTAATTTTGGAGAACCATGCATTGGTATCATAATCACAAGCATTCAGAAAAAGAATCACGATCTCAGCTAATTGTGCTATAAAACAAAAAATCGGGCCTAGCAGCAGATCGATTAGTTTGCGTGTTTCATCAATCAGAGCATTGTGTGTGGTTTTTCCATGAGCATGCACCTTCGATCGAGTGATTGTCAAAATGATGACCAAGGCTGCGGTAATGTTAATTAGGAAAGGAACTGCCTGATGAATCAAAGCCAACATTTGTGCCAACAGTTGCTGATCCGGTGAAATTTCACGAATACACCAAGGAAACGAATAATCAGGATGATTGACTAATTTGTATTGAGTGATAAATACGTAGTTCGAACTTGAAACAATCAATACAATCCCCAAGATCAATGCAATTGCTTTCTTTGGCTCTTGTAACGAAGACCATCGAGAATATTGTACTGCAGCCAGTGCTCTTTGTACTGTAACTATCGCCATTAACCACAAAGTGACATAGTAGAAAGTTTGCATGAGCATGGGTAGACTCTTGCATATGGCTGTATTTACTTCATCCGAGATTATGATACGTCGTATCATATAGAGATAGCTGATCCGTACAAGTAGCAATAACAGCACCAACAAACTAAACACTGACGTTGCCAGAAGATGAAGAGCCACTCCGTTGTTACGAAGTTTTCGTTGTATGAAAGTGATGATGGACAGACAGTTAAAGAACATTCCGATGATGAAGAGAATTATCGGTGCGATGAAATGTCCGCGACCCCAGTCCGTTTTCTCAAAAAGAAATTCTAGCGAGATGGAGAAACGACCAGGTGAAAACTGGCACAGCACGCCTGTGACACACTTTGGGCACACACAAGCAAAATCAGTTCTGTTTGTTAGATCACCTTGAACGCAGTGCCCTTGGTTTTGACAATAGCTACATACCGTGTATCGTCGTTGATAAGAAAGACAATTACTATGATTTTTATTCGGATAACCACAATAACAGAGATATCCATCAGATATAAAGCAAGTACCATAGGTGAAGTTTTGGCAAAAATTGCCAAACAAGGTAACAGCTTGTCTTTGATTTTCGGGTAGAACATGACATTTGCTTAGTTGTTGATCCAGATCAACGGAAAAGTTTCGCATCGTACTGGAACAATTGATAAACAACAAATATAATGTGGTCTCGATTGAATATGCATTTGGTTCAAAAATAAAGAGTAATCCTATTTCAGGTTGTTCTCCAATTACATAACGACCATCACGAATTTTAATTGTTTGAATCAATGGAAACGAGGTGAGTGGCTGAATGAGGATTTGCTGACGAATCTTCGGATAATCTCCTGCAAGCTGGAGTAATTGTAAAAGAAATGGTGATTGATTCGGCTCTTGTCGCTGAACACTAATCACTGGTCTATTAACATTACAATTAGATGTGTTACAAATACAAGTATATCCATAGATAGGAAGATTTGATCGTGGAATGCAAGTTTCATTCAGTTCACAGTTATGTTGTTGGCATTTTAGATTTTGAACGTAACAGTAAGGTTCGAGGTAGCCTTTCGGACAAACACAGATAGCTTCTGTTCGTGCTAGCGAATGTGATGCACAATGAATGTACTCAGTTCTCATCTCGCACAGTTTACCTTTCCAACCGTATGCACAAATGCAGAGAAATCGGTTGTCCTCTCGTTGATGGCAGATTCCATTATTTTCACAATAGTTGTGTGAACAAAGCCAGGGAAATGAACGAGCAGGAAATCGGAGCACTTTGGTAATAAGTAGTACAGGCAAAAAGTCCAGTGGACTGACAGGATATTCCCAGAAATGGATTAACTCTGTAGAATGATAGGTTTCAATTCGAACAGAATAGGTACCCGAAGGTTTTGGATGAGGATAGATCAAGTAGGTAATAAACTTTGATGAGTGTTCTTTGGCTGCATCAAGAAAAAATTGATGATCAACTACTGTGCTTCCGTTCAGAACAAGTGTGACAAGAACGTTCAGAATAAATGGAAGATCAGAGCGTTGCCCTCGATCGAAGCGAAACCGAAAGCCCACTCGTCGATTGTTGTATTGACAACGATCACCGTAAAAAGTCGGCGGACAAAAGCAGAAGAATTCGGAGCTGGCGACTACGTGCAGATAAAAACCTCGATTACAGTAGAAGTTTCGGTGAGCCAATGCTTTCACTTGTTGATTTGAGAATGACGATGGAATTGCAAGTTTGGTGTTGGATTTCAATTGATTGTAACATCTTTTTTTATTGTCAATTACTGATCTATACTTACTCGAGCGATAGACATAATTTTCACTGTTTGAATTCGGACACCAGAAACGATGGGACTTATCAATGCATGCTATTTGTCCTCTACATCTCGTACTCTTGCAATCTTTTTGATCTGCACAAGAAAACTGTCCGACAGGACACGAACCATTATTCCAATAGCAAATTGACTCATCAGTTTCGTCCACACAATCCTTGATTCCATTGCATATTGCCATGTAATCGATGCATTTTTTTCCTTTATCACACAAGAAACGATCACCAACTATCCGATGATCCGGACACGATGCAACATTACGTTCGTCGCGAGCTCCAATACAATCAATGTGCCCGTCACCTACTCGACTTCGATGAATACAAGAACGATTCAAACTTTGATTCTTCACATAGTCATCAGTGATGCAGAAAAATTCAGTGCTTTTGTTGCATTTCGCTTCGAGATTCCATGGTACCCATGGTAAAGAACAATTTATTTCGTCTTCACCATCATCACAATCGAATTCACCATCACAAAAATATTTTCGCTCGATGCATTGTCCTGTTATATTACACTTGTACAAACCGGGATCACATATCCAATATGAGCAGTTCTTTTCGTCTTGACCATCTATCGTATCCCAGATCGAATCGCAGTAACGATGAAAATGAAGTCGAGCGTCTTTTAGACGATTCTCTCCGAACTGATCGCCTTGGAAAACCCAACACGCATAATTATCATTTACATCACATTTGAAGGTTGACCAGCGTATTTCATTGGATACCTCATCACTTCCGTCGGTACAATCCACCACGCCATCACCTAGTTTAGTATAACTGACATATTGAGATGGGGATGTGACAGTTTGGCATTGATAACGAAACAGTTGAGTCATTGGATAATGGGGATTCCTCTCATCATCGCCATAAAGACAATCGATATAACCATCATTGATTCGACGTAACGACACGCGATCTGATGTGTTTTTGCATCGATAGAACGATGTTGAGATTGATGAATCTAAATTATTTTCAGTTTTCATATTACCCAACGATTGATTTATTATTTTTTGGCAAAGTAAGTGAAAGAGTGGAAAAAATGGGTAAGAAGCGAGTTGTTGCAAATCTTGATAACTGAACCTGATTTTTTCCGCTATATTTAATGATATTCCGTTGCAGACAATGACACCAGTGAAATAGTATAGATCAGGTGTCTTTGGTATTGGTTTTTGTAAATTACTTCGATTGCCGATGAATATCTCGATACGAGAGCGATTGTAGACTATTTTTAAACCTGGAAAGAAAGCATTTTGTTCTACATATAGGATGAGATTCTCACAACGAGTTCTGAGATTGATAATGGCAAGATCCCTGAATTGCTGAGAAGGATGAGTTTGTAGTAAATGTCCAAGAGTTTGTCGACAGTCTGAACTGTTTTTTAAAGGAGGAGCAAGTTCCATCGTTTGTTTACAGATTCCAGTCCATTCCACATGACTCGCTAACAGCAAGCTCGATGTTTCACAAATGTAACCAGTATCACGGTAGTTACCACAGTCTTTCTGGTCGTTCACAATTGCTGACCATGGAATGCATTCACCATTTCCACATGAAAACTGGTCTTTATGACACAGTCGATCATCGCACTCGAGCGTCGACTGTATTGCACAGTTTTGGTACTTTTTGAAGAGTTCATCAAGCGCTTGCTCATCACTCAAATCCATACAATCAGGCGTTGCATCGAAGACAAACTCGACTGGAATGCACATTCTATTACGACATTGAAATTCATCTGATTCACACTTGTGAAATTCCAAAAGATGACAATCAAGCTCATCAGCCCCATTTGCACACTGAGTGAACCCATCACAAATATGTCGCCACTCAAGAAATATATCTGCTTCTGGACATATGATTCCATCCACGAGTCTTGTAAGTGTTTCGTAACTATTCGAATACGATACGAACATCTGCTGACGTAACCAATTACCAAGCGCAATATTCCTCGAACTGAAACTGTATTCGCAATATCTGCCAATCCGATTTTGACTACAGTTACAGATCGTTTCTTCAGTTGCACGAATATTTTTATTATTATCTAAATGAGCAGCGTATTGTTCGATTAAATGAAAAGGTATTAACCAATTCATCAAATTTTCAGTTGTCACGTTGAGCTTCTCCAACTTGTCGAAAGTCCATGAGTGCCCATCGTTACATGATTCATTAATGGTATTTACTGTGACTGGACGACAGTAATAACGGAAGTGAATGACGAAGCATTCTGTACGAGTTTCGTCTTTCGAGTAGATCATATATTGATGAGTAAAATCCTCCGTGGACGATAATCTCAATAAGGTGCAAATCAGTGTGATCCAAACTTGTGAATTATACATGCCTTTATTTCACTTTATCTGAAAATAAACAGACAGCTACGATCACAAGCATAATGGGCGATTTAAAACAAAAGGTGTGGGTGTAGTGTGGCTGCGGGTTTGGGTGAGTGTGGGTATGAATAAAATAGAATACTCACACTGACACCCACACCCATTAATACCTCTGACTCCCTATATATGCTCTATTTTCGCTCATGAAAAGACACATTTTTTCTCATAATTCTTGAGAAGGAGGCCCTACGTGTCTAAACAGTCAATGCCGTTTCTCGCGAAGTATAATTGAAATAAGTAAGCAGCAGCAATCGTTGGATGGATCTGTATATGAATAAATTATTTCTAATGTGAGCCGCGAAACAGTCTAACCCTTCCATCTTTCATTCAGTATGAGTGCACAGATCTAAGAAAGCTATGGAATAAGGAAGAATCCATAGATATTTATAAGCTTTTACGAGAATTCGTAAGGATCCACGGGACTCAATCGGAATCCATTGGAGCCTATTGGAATCCATTTCGATGATTGGCATCCTTTGAAATCGTTGGAATCCAAAATGATCCGATTCCGTTCGTTTCTTCTTGATGTATGGTTTATGTTGTCAACTAGTCTGTGTTAAAACAACAGAAGAAATAAGAGAAACAATTGTATGATATATTAGTTTTTTTCAATACTTTAGCAAATAGATTTTGAGTGCAATCTGTTCATGGCTTGTCTATATGCACTTTTTTTAATTAAAATATATTATAAATTGTTTCAGTTATGTCATTTTTGGCATAGTCATATTATTGCTGCTTTGTATAAAAACATATAAAGAAGTGAATGAGCAATATTTTATTGGACATCCAATGAAATTGTTTTTTGTATTGATGATATTTGTCTCTTTTTTCAAGAGTAAAAATGCTATTTTATGTCTTAAAAAAAGGCTTTTTGCTTCTTCTTGAGGGTATGGGTGTGAAGAAAAAAGGTACCCACACTCACACCGCCAAGATGGTTGTTTTCTTTTCATCCAAGATGACTGATTGTTTTATTATTTTTTTCGTTTCTAACAAAAAAATTCATTCTTTACTTTTCATAACGCGTCTGTTTATATAGTAAATGACTTCTACTGTTATTGTCACATCTTTTTTACCGCCACGTATATTTCAATTCAGCATTCACATGCATCGGACACAAATAATAAATATTTACTGTACTAAAACAAACAACAGAAACAGACGAATACAAAAAAAGCAAAAAATATAAATTGTCTCTTGTCTTTATGTGATAATCAATATTAAATAGTAATTTCTATTAATCTTTCTCTTTCCATTCTTTGTGACATATATAACTAAAGAATAATAAATATATTTATGATATAAAAAAAAGTAAAATATACTCGATTGATTGCATCTAAGAGTTGATCGATTCTTTCTGGAAAATTTTCAATTGGATGAAAATATTCTGAACGCATTATTGTATCTCGTTCTTCTTGAATTTCTTCATCTGTTATTTTTTTAAAACCTAAATAAAAAATAATAAAAATTCTTTTTCTTTAATTAAATTCTACTAGAGTACCTGTCCATCGTTGAAATTTTTTCAATATAAATGCAAAGATCTGTTGATTATGTGGATCGGCATGCTCTCTTGCAAGACGGAAACTATCATTAATTATTGAAAGAAACATACTCATGCATATAAATATCACCAAAATAATAAATAAACTAAAACAGAATGGACCAAGAAATGCTGATGCTTCACTTAATTCATGTGCATCAAATTTCATTAATGTTATCTCAAATAACATACGTGCCGTGTCTAATAAACTTGAACAAGAAGAAATCTTTCCACTAAATAATAAATAAAAAAGAGAAAGAAATGCTATAAATATAATTGAAAACATCATTGAGAATGGTATTAAATCTGTTTTTGCGTATTTAAGTGTTTCAATAAATAAACAAAGACGTTGATTAAAACGTAAAAGTTTAATGGATTTAATTGTACCAAAAAAACAAGAAAACCCCAATAGGATTGTTAAAATATCATTAACATAAGATGCGAATTGTAAATTAATATAAATATATCCATTTGTTTCTTTAAATAATTGACCAATACGTTCACATTGATGATATCGCCAAATGTAAATTCCAACAGTTGTCCATGCACATACAATTATTCCAACTTCTATATATGACCAGAATCGATAAAAATATTTTCGTTTCAGTTCAAATAATAATCGAATCTCTATCCACATGTGATATATCATCATTGACATGTAAAGAATTATCACAATTAATTGAAATTTTGATGTAAACGCTAAACAAAAACATTTTAATTTTCTATTAAAAAAAAACTACGAAGTTACCATAAAAATTAAATGGTTCAAAACGAGCTGTTGGATAAACTCTAGATGATGATAAAAATTCTGCAAGAAAAGTAACTGAAGTAAATAATTGAACATTTGGATTATATAAAGTTAATTGAATAATCACAGCTCTTGTTTTATCATCAATCCATCCTAATTGATAAAGTTGAGATACATTAGTTTGAAGATCAACTAAACGACCTCGAAATTCATAAACATAACCACCACCTTCATAACTTCCATAATCTCCAACATAAGTATATGTATCTAAATCTTTACTTGATTTATATTGAAATGATTGACTAATGGATGAACTATACGTTTCTATGGTTTCATTTAACCATCCTGGTTGATAGGAATGTTTATCTTCATTTGATAAACTATAATCATACTGACATGTTAAAATAATTTCATTGTTAGCAAGACATAATTGAGATTTAACACGTAATTGTCTCATTGTTGCCCATCCAATGAATCGATTTGTTTTATCATTAATAAAACCACTTAAGTTCTTAGGTGGTTCACCATTATACCATTGTTGAGCACGAATATTTTCAACAAAACTATTTTCTAACCAATTCCAATAATCATCTATTGTTGAAACCTAAAATCTAAATTATTTAATATCAAAGATTTTTTTATGAGAAACAAACTGTTGTATAATCTGAATTGATTTGTCTTGAATTTAGAAAATATTTTTGTAAATGATCAACTTGATTAAATGAATTCAAATCACGATGTGTATAAGTTAAAATAGAAAGAAGTGAGAAAAACCATAAATAACGAACTATTTCTCGAATAATTGACCACATATAGATTTCTTGTAAACGTCGATCACGAGCATAAATAACTTCACTTTCGTTTAAACGATTTGCACGAACTGGTGCACGATAAGTAAACAAAGATCTCTTCTATAATTATTCATTTATTTCAATTATTATTTCTGAATAATAAAATACAAACCTTAATCGAATGAAGATATTCTTCATCATTATTTAAATCAACTTGATTATTATCTAAAAATTCGTTTGCTTCGTAATCATCATTCGATCGTCGACAAAAACAAGCAAATAGTATCGCCAGACTTAGTATCTTTAATAGAAATATACATTTCAATTTAAATAAGAAATAATCAAACATTTACTTTTATTGGTTGTGAGAAAAAGATCGATGAGAGAAATCCAGTTACAATTGATATTAACCATTGTTCAATTTTCTCATCACCAAATTCAATTCCACGAGCAATTATAAATAGAATAGAAAGACCAACTAATACTGCACAAAGTCCATATGCAATAAATATACACCACCAAGGAAATGTTAATGAAGATTTTTGATTGTTTTTCTTTTGACTAAAGAAGAAAACATTTTTATATGTTTTGATATGGAATTATTCAAACCTTTGTAAATGTGGTTTAATTTTATGTAATGCTTGCTGTAATGGTGAAAGTTGTTTTTGACGAGATCTAAGACGTCGAAATAATTGTACAATCAAAAGACTTGGAATGAATGCAAAGAAATCAACAATAATACCAATTATTATCTATAACATATAGAATTATATTCGAAATCAAAGGCAACAAGAAAATACTTGTTGAGAATTGATTTGAAGAGAACCAACCGATAAACTGGCTGAATTTGTTGAATTATTGCTTTTTGCTTGATTTGATAAATCATAATACATTATATTTAAAAACATTGAAACATAAAATAAAGTAAAACAACAAGTACATCGTTGAACACGTGTAAATCGATTTGATGGTGGACGAGAAAATATTGAAAACCATAAATGACTATCAGATATACTATGATATGTACGTTTTGTTAATAAATAAGAAAATTCATGTTTTTCTATTTCACTTGCTGCTGGTAAAATCCGTTCCATCTATTTCAAGATTATATTTAAAGTAAATATGATAAAGAATTTAGGAGAGGATCCGCCAGATCACCACCCAGACATTTTCTATCCACACGCTCAGAATACAGCTTTAGTTCTTTTTGGACTCTGAGAAGTGACGAGGTTGGAGATAAAATATGGGGACTATTGACTACTAACCACCTATTCCTTTTTTGCTATTTTTTTGACACCTTTTACAGGTCTGTTAGGAAAAACTTGATATTTTGGATTTAAGAGTTTCATGATATGACTATTCATTTAAGCTTGGGAGGTCATCTGGCGGACTCTTTTTTAATTACTTTTCCATCATCTTTTTCCACCGCAAACCATCGTTGAGAAATAAAATGAAATTTTTCCATTGTTTGTAAATCCCGAATAATTATATATTTAAGAAACCATGATGATGATGAACCTTCACCTATATTATCATGCCATATACGAATACAATTTAATAATCCCAAGGTTCTAAATAGAAACTTATCTCGAGGGTGAGTGTGGGTGGGTGTGGGTAGGAACAATAAAAAAATATGATAGCTACGACTACACCTACACCCACACTCTCACCCTCACCCACACGCACACCCTCATCCTCAACCTCACCCACACTGACACCCTCATCATCACCCACACCAACACCCACACCCTATTACAAGCTATACTGAGCTGAATCTGCGGCAAATAATAAACAAGTAACAATTTTTATTCCTAAAATAATAATCAAAACAATAACACAAGTTTTAAAAGTATATATTAACTAGGAATATTAATTCTACAACATGAATAAAGTATATTAGTTCTTGAAAATGTGCCATGTCTTCGACTTAGTCAAACAGAAGTTTTGTCGTAGTATGTATAATATCGTTTCAGTCATATATCTTCAAAAATATTATAATGCAGACGCGTTTATTCTCATTATATGGATTCGTCGACGAATATATGATATTACATGTTTAAATTCTTTATTATAAATTGGTGATGGTAGAACAAATATTAGAAACAGGAATGTTGATGGTATAAATGAAAGAAAATAACCGAGCAGGTAGAACCATAATAGATGAGTTGATTTATTACATTGTAAAATAAATGAAATAATCAAATGTGGTAAGGTTAACATTATAATAATCATCGGACTAATTAAAAGATGTTTATATTGTTTAATTTTAGCTACAAGATGTTTTTTGAAGCTAAGCTTTTTTTGGCAAGCTGTTCGTTGACGAGTAGTTATTATAATAATAGTAATAGCTGAAATAAAATTAATTATTAAAGGAGCCGCATAATGAAATATAATTAATGTAAAACTATATATTTGTATAATTGATGAATAAGTAATTACACACCAATTTCGTTCTTCAGTTTTATCAGTAAAAACATGAAGTTCAATTATTTGTGGAACATAAGCAGCAAAATTGAGAAGAATTACCATTATAATAACATATTTAGCAATTTTTATGCTTTTCTGTTTATCAAAACTAACTCCATGTTGTACCGAAATAATTCGTTCAATCGCTACACAAGTATGAAGCCATTTATCTATATATAGTATTATTTTTAGAAGTGGCTCAACAACTCGACAATTTAAAAGAAGAATATTTTGTAAACCACGTTGTTCTAAAATCGATTGGTAGGAGAGGAAAAGCAACCAAAATTTCAATGTAAATAATATCATAATTGCTAATGAAGTAACTGATGCAGTGAGAAGATAAATTCCACAGCCAACCTTTTGCGATGTTTGTCTTGCAAAAACTATTATTGATAAAATACAGTTAATGAATCCTACAGCAAATATTATCATTGTAATAGTAGCACTGACTATTACTGTGATTGGTTGTTTAGATAATATTGTGTTGCGTTTTAATTCATAACCCAATATTTCATCTAATGTTGAGCCAAGAGCTTTTGCATAAAATTGGCATTCATCGCCAAAGAAACAGGCTGGACATATACAAATTCTTGTAGATGGACAGATTGGATGATCTTGGACACATTGTGCTCCATTTGCACAATGTTTTGTCAATGAACAATGAAAATTTCTATCACGCTTGAATTCCATACAATTAGCATGATGATCATTAGTACACAAACATAAATAGGCAGGATCAATGAAACACATGAGATCAGTATGTGTATGACAAAGAATATGGAAGAATATTATTCGTCGATACTGAACCATTTTCATTACTGTGGAATTCAGTAATTGTTCAGCAGGAATACACTCCTGTGAAGGACGAATTGATGTTGTGATATTTATATATAGTGATTGTTGAAGTACAGCAAGATAATATTTGCCACTCGATTGTATAATTGCCATATGAAATGGTACTGAAATGTGAAAGGTAGCAGTGTCCTGAAAGAGGGTCAACTTTCGAAGTATAATTGCCTGCATCGGGTCAGACTTATTGGAGAGTGTAAAAAAATAAGCCGCAATATACGATGGAATATGCATATCAACTAGAGAAACATCGAGTTTTACCTTAGCATATTGACAATTTATACCAAAAAATTGATCAGGACAAACACAAGTATAACTGCTGTCAGGAGTAGTCACATCAGCCGGTATATATTGTCCATTATTTTGACAAATATTAGCTGGATATGCTGATGTGAACATACATTGTGAGCCAAACTTATGTAATGGACATACACATATTGATTGATTGTTTACTAATCCCAAATACAATGAATCGTGTGAACACATTTGACGATTTATTGGGATGTTACATTGAATGCCTGTCCATTGAGAGTGACATCGACAGAAATACTTTTCTTTATTTAAGTATTTAACGCAAGTACCATTGTTGCAAGTCATCAAGCAATTGGATGAAGTCGGAATAATATGATTTGATAAAATCAACGAAATAGCTAATCGATTGACAGGTAAAAAGAGAAATGTAATAGGAAAGTGCCAACTTCGAACATACGTTATTCTGTTTTTTTCGAATGCATCAATACGTATGCTATAGTTCTTGGACAAGTCTTTTGGCCGTGTGGGAAATAATAGATATCGATTGAATTTAGTACTACAGCTTTCCTTTGTTATGTATACAAATTGATCGTATGCATGAATCTCTTGTCGTTCATCATCATCATCGACTAACATAATAATAATCGCATAAGTAGAATGTCGATCAACTGAACTCACATGTAATGTGAGGCTAATTCGTTGATTTTGATATTGACATAAATGGCCATAGTAACTTGGTGGACACATGCATACATTATCAAAACTATCATTTTCACTTCGAAGATGAATAGTAAGTCCACGATTACAATACCATAGCCATATATTAATGTCACTGTAATCTATATTGACATTATCGATAGAATGTCGCTCTGTTAACCAGTACAAATTTTCATCGACGACACTATTTTCTAACGAAGGATAGTTAGACGATGTATGAACAGAAAAATACTGTCTTCTTCGATTTTTCTGTTCACTCAGTCCACAAAGAACCTCTTCTATTTCACTGCGATTGTATGTTGAATCGTTGGTACAGTTGAACTGATGAGTTTTGCAGAATTTTTCATCATCATGAAGTGGACAATCATTATTGTTGTTGCATAATTCTGATGGTACCAAACATTTTGTATCCCTGAAGCAGCGAAAGCGCTCAGGAACTTCGCTCGGAGGATAGATCCATTGACACTCGTGTTGTTCGTCGGATGCGCCAAGACAATCATCGTTTCCATCATTAACACGTGTGTGAGGCAAGCAGATTACTGTAAAATTAAGAGGATCTACACAGGCGTGAGTTCCTAAATGACATTTTGTTCGACTACATTTGTCCTCATCTCGTCTATCGAGACATGCCCAATAACCGTCACAGCGTGCATACATACTGTTACATAACCACTCTTCACATCCAAACTCCTCATTATAATATTGTCCAGAATTATCGTAGTAAATTGATTGGTTGATACCATTACAAAAACGTTGAAATGGAATATTGTCGTCCTGTCGGGTCATTGAACAAGCATCCTTTTTCAATGTAGGGGACCAGCATGTATCTGTATTGTGACATCTCACTCGGTATCGATCGTTAAGTTGGCAACTATTTAGATACTTCTCATCATCGTCATGAAAACAATCTTGTATACCATCCTTGATGCGATGTATAGAAATGAAGTTCGATGAGTTGCGACAGTTATATAATAACGAATAGTTCGCATATGTTTTTGTTTTGTTGGGTGAGATCGCATGAGAAATCAAACAAGGACGAAATAGTTGTTCGATCAACCACATCAGTTCGTTCCAAGATCCGATTTTAATATCCAGTTTTGGCATTATTTTCGACATATTTATACAAGTGAGATTTTCACGAATTAAATCCGGTTTAATAGGATCACATAGTTGTTGATCGTAACAAAGATAATCAGGCAGAAGAAAATTATTCATTTGCTGTCTTAAATAAGGCTCTTTATAAAAGAAACGAATATGATCAGAATGAACTGGAATAGTTGGAAATTGGAAAAACGAATCACATTGTTTAAGGAACTCGTAGATTGATTCGTTCACCAGCCATATTTTACATGAATTTCCATGAATTTGCTCGACGAGTCGAGTAAGACAAATCATAGCAATCCAACATTCGTCTGATAGATTACCGTTGGCTGTCATCGACTCTATCAGTAACCTATGTCGTCCATTATAACATTCATCAAATTTGTTGACACATTGGCCATCTCCACAGGGAAATGTACCCTTGTGCGCTCTGCAAGAATGTTCTTCACAACGGAATGTTGGATCTTGGAAACATGATCTTATATACAAGGCATTCGACACTTCATCGGAACGATCGAGGCAGTCTGCATCGCCTTCACCCTCTTCCCAGAGTTCGCTTGATATACATAATCCATTGTGGCATCGATATTCATTTTTCTCACATTCATTTATTTCCATATCGAAACAATATTCTTCATCGAGACCTTCATCAAAACAATCAACGATTCCGTTACACACTTCACGCCAATCAAGACACCAACTCTGCCCA